CGGAGCTCCAGCCGGGCTACCCCTTCCCGCGCCGACCCTCAGGGACCACGCCCGGCCCAGCCCGGCCCGGACTTCGCTCGCCTGAGAGCAGCTTCAGGCCCCAGGAGGTGGCAAGGAGGGAGGGGAGGAGTGCGGACCCGAGGAGGTCTCGTCCCAGGGCCCCGGCTCGGAATCTCCACTGTGAACCGGGCGGAGGTGGTGCTGCTGCCGGAGAATAAATCTTGGCGGAGAATCACCTTTTAAGCGCTGCTGGCCGGTGTCCGTCCTCTGGTGCCCCGCTTGCCTCGCTTCTGCCTGGTCTAAGTGCCGGGCCACGCCCGGTCCCCTGCTGGCAGGGAGCACGGCTGCGCGCCCATGCAGGACTGCTGTCGTTCCCATTTCTAATTCTTAACACTGTCCCCTCGACGTGCGGCGACATGCACTTTTGAAACAAAGGTCAGTGATGTTTTAGCAGAGGCTTTTAAGAAGCACCGTGCTCTCTGGGCATGGTGCTGCGCAAATATAGCCCCAGCTCTCAAGAGGCTGAGGCATGAGGGTCACTGGCAGCCCGAGGACAAACTACATTACCCGGACCCACTCTCACCAAACACAAGATGGTCGTCGTGGGACACCTGTAACACCAACATCTGGGAGGCTGAGGCGGAACTGCCGCGAGTGTGAGGCTAGGTTGGGCGACGTAGCGAGTGTACCTAGAATCCTGCGTGCCGGGGGCGGGGAAAGTACCGCGCTCTTCCTCTGGATTCCTTGGGCCGCAAGGACAGCTGCTCTGCGGCCTTCAGCTGACCTCGGAAACTAAAAATACTTCTTTCATTCTCTGTCTCCTGGCCACCATGGTCAGGAGTGGAAAGCACCTGCCGCCAGGTGCAGAGTCATCAGCTCGCTCGAAGCGAGCACGGCCGCGGGCTCTGGAAGCCCTGCAGAAAGGGGGCCCGGTGGCCTGGAGCCAGGCCTAGACGGCCCCCGAGGGAAATCCCGGCTGACCAGGCTGGGCTCGCGGCAGCCTCCGTTCCAGGACCCGGGGATCGGCCTTCCCGAAGGGCTGCTGCGATCCAGGTATCGCTTCCCCTCCAGCCAATCGTCATCGGGGAGGCTTCCCCTCCAGCCAATCACCGAAAGGTTCCCCTCTAGCCAATCACCGCTTGAGGACCTCCCTCCGTCGCCGGAAGAAGCCGTCGTCCCGGGCAACCACGACGTCCGTTTTTCACTTAGGCGGCGGGAAACGGCCATGAGTAAAGGCCGGGCGGAAGCCGGCGCGGGAGGTAAGGAGGGCTCGAACGGGAGGTAGGCGGGGTCCCGGGGAGGCCGGCCGAGTGACTTTCGCCCGGCTCCGTCTCTCTGTAGTGCCCGGTGTCCTCCTGAGGTACCTGCAGGAACAGAACAGGCCCTACAGCGCCCAGGACGTGTTCGGGAACCTGCAGCGGGAGCACGGGCTGGGCAAGGCGGTGAGCGCCGGAGCTTCGCGCCCCCGGCCCCA